CATTGTCACATGATAATTTTACCGATATTACAAAAGTTTAGCCAGCGCTAATAGATATCCATTATTATGTTCGGAATCGTAATTTTTATTTATTTTTAATGCAAGCATTATAAAAATTTTTGCAAAAATTATTCATACGATAAAAATTACATGTAATTTTGATTTCAGAAGATTACACAAAATTTCGTAAAATAACGTAAAATTATAGTAATTTTCCATCCCTATTCCAACGTGAGGCCAATTAGTATTTAAAGTCCGCCTCACGTTGGAACAATTTTTTTACTATATTTACATTAGATTTTTGGCTGATTTGATTGGTTAATGATCACACATTTATTAACCAATCAAATCGAATGACAAATACAGAAATAACGCGCAGGGTCTCAAAATAACTGATGCGCGTTATTTAGTCTACTTATCTTTCCTATGCTTAATTATGACGTTTTTATCAAAAGAGATTCTTGGCTTAGTTCGCTTTCCCGGTAAGTTAATACAATTCTCTTGTTCTGTGAAACTTTATTAACTGATACTTGTATTTTTCGTTAGAATATTGGAATAGAGATTCTGATTTATGGGGCGATGTACAAAGTTGGAATGTATTTTATATAAAGAACGTGGCTGACTGCACACCGCAGAGTTCCCATTCAGCACTTTCAAGCGAGCTTGATATACTTTTAAAAAATCTTCCAAGCAATAGTAAAAAATACGTGAGGGCAAAATTCTATCCGTAAGAGCATTCAGGTCAGTTTTTTTTTAATTTGTACCTACCAACAGAGTGACACATGCTACGCCCAGGACTGAGGTCTCATAAACAGAATTTCTGCGGTTTTCTGGATGGGAGGAGAAGTGTTATGAATATGAATCGTCGTGACACGCATTTGTCATAATGTTGGTGGAGCCCAACTACACCCTGCAACTGCGGTTGAGTGACTTAGTCATAATAGGGTCTGCGGTTCGCCCGAAAGTGGGGAGTATTTATGGTATGGGATCCTTGGATTAAAGATCACACTTTATCTTTGGGTCATATCATATAATGCGCAGTTGGGATCATAATTACTTTTTTCCATAAATATGCGTGTATAACATTATTTATTTAATGAAAGCATTATAACATGACGCCCTTGCTCTGGAAATTCACACAAGAACTGGCTAGTTTAACTAGAATCAACGATATTGACAAGGTATTATGAGTTATTCTTGATAATTCTTCGATTTTGATATTGACCATTTTTCTTTTTTATCTAGGAAAAGATCAATTGTGTTTCAATACATGCAATCGCAAATGCAGCAATAAATCATTTTAACTTGGCAGATCCAAAAAAATATCAAACGGCTGATTCCAATGATAAAGGTCGTTCTATTTCGGCAGAACCAAAAGACTATGGCCAAATAAATGAGGTGGTCGATTCCGATAAAGATCATTTTACTTCGGCAGAACCAGAAGACTATGGCCAAAGAAATGAGGTGGTCGATTCCAACAAAGATCATTTTACTTCGGCAGAACTAGAAGACCATGATCAAAGAAATGAAATGGCTGATTCCAATGGCAAAGATCATTCTACTTCGGCAGGACTAGAAGACCATATCCAAAGAAATGGGGTGGCTGATTCCAATGACAAAGAACAATTTACTTCGGCAGGACTAGAAGACCATGTCCAAAGAAATGGGGTGGCTGATTCCAATGACAAAGAACAATTTACTTTGGCAGGACTAGAAGACTATGACCAAAGAAAATGGGGTGACTGATTCCGATGATAAGGATCATTTTACTTCGGCAACACTAGAAGACTATGGCCAAATAAATGGGGAGGTTGATTTTGATGATGATCATTTTACCTCGACAGGACTAGAAGACTATGGACAAAGAAATGAGATGGCTGATTCCAATAATAAAGTGCTTTTCTTGCAGGCTTATTTCCGAGGGTCGGCCTTTATAGATATTATTACTAAATATTTTGGATTTACATTTATATCAAATTACAGTCCGATGGTTTAGAAACAAGGAAACATCCTTCGCTACAAGATGAAGAACTGATATCAATTAAGAAAAGAAAAGTGGGCATGAAATCGTCTAACACTGTAAATAAACACCACCCAAAGAAGATTACACAATTGACTACAAATTGATAATTCAGTTGTTTTAAACCTCTCGTCTAATGTACTTAGGTTGTGAAGCCGGTAATTAAAAATAAATATGTGTTAGAATGGAATTTTGAAGAAGATACGAGGCCTCCTATATCGGTAAGTAGCTAATCCTTACATTAAATTAGTGGCTAATACTAGTAAAAATAACAACCACATGTGCAGGAATGGATCATTGACGAAGTAAGCATAAGCACATCATTTTTTAACGTGCTATTTCTATGGCGAATAAACATGAACTTACCTATTCGAATTACCCGGGAGAGATGCTGTCAGTTCTACTTGTTTGTTTTTTATAAAAGTTCATATACCATGTGATAAACGTAGTACTTATTAAAATTTCGTATTATGCTCAGGGCATTAAACTCCATACTTCTTTTAGAAGAGAATTCTATTTGCACCTAGTTGAATATACCTTTGGATATCCAGAAAAAGGTCTTTAAACAAATGAAAGATATGTATTCAAAACAAAATCTGCCAGACGTAATCAGTGAATTATGCCGCCAGTGCGCAAAAATTGCAAGAGAAAATACTCGAATGGATTTAGAAGATTCTATCGAAGATGTTTATGACGACTTAAAGAAAAGTTCTGCTGACAAACCTTTGCTCAGAACATGTCAAAAAGTTTGGGGGCATATGTAGGTCCTTTGTTTTTATTTGATCATATTTTTTCCTAAACCAAAATCATTTAAACACATTAAAATTCAATAGTGCAGAAAATTTGCGTACAAGTTTTAATGATCTGTTAACTATAGAAGATTCTTATGTACACCACCTGATACACCCTATCTTGCGACCATTTTTTTCATATGAACCGGGGAGAGCGGTTAACTGGTGACTTTCTACGGATTTTTAATTATAAATAATTTCATTTGTCTGATACACTACTTTAACACATATCTGTTTTTTTTTTATGTTTAAAAGGGCTAATAAGATGTCACTAGCAAGTGCGTCCAGAAAAATAAATTCTAATGGTGAAGGTCATCGACCTGATTTCATGTTCACTATTGATCTTAATGGAAATGACAAATTTGAAATCGTGTTTGGTCTTTTTAAGTCACCAAGCAAAGCCAATTCACAATTAGTAAATATTGTTTTGGTTAATTTGGGAGTTCTTATGAAAGACTCTCTTGATAATATATATAATAAAGGAGTCGAATTAGAAATAGTTGTTTTTGGAATTCACTCATTCAGTATCTATTACAATCTTATTATAATATTCAATTTTTTTTATTTTTTTTGACAAATTTAATTAATTTTTGCTAGTAGGTTACAATATTAGAATTTATACAATGGATCTGTCATAGATCTGTCATATGATGGCGTATATAGAATGTTTTTATTGGGGGAATTTGAATTGCCAAGAAGCAATCTTAGTTACTGTTTGGTAGAAGTTATTTTATATAAAATTGTAAACTTAAAGGCAAGTTTACTAAATTTCTTAGTATACTGTTATATTAAAATAATGAATAATTAATTTTATTTTATGCTATAAAATATTTATTACAGAGATTGGTAGAAGAGTTTATTGAGAGGTTTTCGCGTTATAGATTGACCACTTTCAACAGAAATAAGACAACTCCAACAAGAAAAATGCAGATGATTAGAAAAACATTGGAAACTCCAAAAAAAGCAGGATTTATTTTATTTTGATATTTAATTTCTTAATATTCTTTCATTATTTTTATAAATTTTGTTACTATTAGGTTAATATTAATAATACAAAATAATTGTCATAATATGTATTATGCTAACATAGAAAGATGTATACATATATTAAAGATTCTTCTGTTTTTTACTTGTTTTTAAAAATCTAATTTGCTATTAATCAAGCTCTTAATGTTACATAATTGAACAAATTTTTAATTAAATCAATTTGTATTGACTACTTGTGAACTTAGTTCCTATTTCAATAAAATTATGTGCTGATGTGATTTATAATAACTTATATTCAACAGATATAACTAATTTATCATTGCTGTCTATGTAATATAACTTTCATATACTTATCATAAAACGAAATCTTTATTTCATGCATTTTTTGTGATATTTAAAAATTAAATAAAATAATACAATATTTGTACTTAATCCTAAATTAGGCTATTGTAAAATGTAAATTTTATTACAGCTGTTTTCATAATTTCTGAAACACCCAAGTTAGTAAAAATTCAATAAAATTGACATATATATACAGTATTTATATATATATACAGTATATATATATACTGGTATACTTATATGTAATTTAAAATCAAATGATTAATAAATATTAAAGCTGCAAATATTTTTCTTTGATAGCAAAAATATTAGAAGGTCTATTAATTGCTAAACTCTTAGGTATTAATATATCTTCTATATGTTGGGCTTCCAAGCACTTTTGAAGATATAGATGTGTTGAAAACTTTTGTCACTTTTAGAAGAGCCACTACTAAAACATGAATGATATAAAATATTTTAATAAAAGAAAATTTTGACTGGTATTTGCAACTATATTTTTTATTTTACAGATTTTTAAAAAAGAAATCAAGTTTATAAAAATCATTTTATAAATGGAATCTTGAATTATCTTTTTAAACCAGTTGACAAATTCTTGATAATATCTAACTATATTTATATTATTTCTGGGACACCTATAAAAAAATTAGCCAAAAAATTTTTTGGCTGGTAATTTTTTTGGCATGATCGGTATATGAAAAATATATCTTTGAATTTTTATTTACTGTTATATTGATATAATATCTATGTCATAAATTAAATTATATTGTTGTTCCAATTTCAAAAATTACTATAATAAATAAATATAATACCTGTTCTACAAAAAATTTATTATTATAATGTCAACTATTAAAATTTCATTTGAACGCTTGCCTAATATATTTAGTATATTTAATTTGTGCAAAGCTTATAAAAAAGATTGTTTTTGTCAACCAATAAACTTGACAAAAAATATAAAAAAGGCTCTAGATATCAAATTAGCTTTTATAGTAAAGTTAAATATGATCAAGAATTCGTCAATTGGACTAAAAATTCAACTAAAAATTCAACTAAAGTCAAGATTTCAAAAAATCAACTTAATTAATATGTATCAAAAATGCATTAAAAATCAACACAATCAAAGCAAAACAGTAGATCTAACAATTAAAGATTCTCTAGAATCTTTATCGCCATGGCAAATACTTTTGAGTTATCCGACTTGTCAACAATGCAAACATCAAATTATAAAATCAAAGGTTAATTTAACTTATTGAATTTTATAAATACAACCTGAATATAATAAAAAAGATTTGGTGGCATGCTAAGAATGATCAGAACAAAATTGCAACCAATAAATAAGTTGCTTAACTTTATTAGAAATGATTTGCTGCATATCGACAAAGAAAGATTAGAAATTTATTAATAATACTAAACATATCTATATTTACATATTTACATAATAAAGATTCTTACTAAAATGTGTTTAATAAAATTTTTATAATTAATAGAATTCATAGAACCTTCTTGAATACAATATGCCAAAAAACCATTAATACACAATGCACTTTTTGTTTTCTACAATTCTAAAAAATTCCAGCCATAGCATCAAGATAATATTCTTCTGTCATAAGTAATTTTGTTTGAAAAAACTAACTTGGTATAACTGAGATATTTGTAAAATGAAATTGTTTCTATCAACTTCAATTCTTTCTTTTGCAAGTTTTGAAATCTAAATTGTTAAAAGTTTATAAAATAAAAATATGTATAAATATATGAAATATTATCTTTTTGTGTATATATCCAAGTTGTAAGACTAATGTTATATCCCAACCAAAGTTCTATCTCGGATTGTAATTCATACAAGTAGTCAGGTTTTTTTTTATTAAAACTTAAAGATAATTTATATCATTCATGTTTAAAGACCATAGTTTTTCCAAAAGTGATAGAAGTTTTTTAATGCAACCATATTTTTGAAAATGTACAAGAACCCGACTTATAGAAGACCTGCTAACATCTAAGTGTTTTGCAATTTTTCAAGTTGACAGGCCTTCTAAAATTTTTTCAATAATTTGCTAGCAAAAGTGATTTGAAAACATTATATTTTTTGAATTCAACAAAAAATATGCATAATTTTTTATTTATATTAGCCACCTAATTTTAAATTATATATATATTACAGTATTTTATTAATTTTTATTGAATTTATTATGCTGAAAAAATTACTGGCCGAGAAATTTTTCAGCTAATTTTTTTATAGATGTTTCAGGAATAATGAAAACAGCTACAAGCTGTTATACATAACTAATTTTGGTGGCGCCGGTGAAACTAGTTTGTTTATTAAATAAGGTACGTGATATAAAGTTAGGATGTAATTAGAGATGTTAAACAGTTTAAAAATAAACTAGTTTAGTTTTGAACTAGCAGTGCACTATATAAATCAAATCCAATTTTCAATATCTGATATGTAAAAAAAAAAATATATATATACCGATATATAAAAAATATAAAAAGTGAAAATATTTGGAAATAAATTGAATATTTCATTATCTTATTCTAAACCTTGATCTGTTAAATTTGGGTTGTATACTATTTACTACTTACTTGAGAATAGTATATATATATAATTTTAAATTAAGTTTATTAATAAAGCAGAGTTGTTTTTTCTAGTAACCAAAATTACTATATGAGGTATTTTGTAGATATGCATTTTATAATATAAGGCCATGCAAAATTAATTAAATGGTTTTCATAACCTGGCCGGGTCAAAATTTGAAAATTTCAAAAAAAAAA